ATTGGTAAGAACAAAACCTGATGGCTGTCAGATTGTGAATGATGACCTTGGTGCTTCTCCAAGTGTCTTGGACATCAGCTCCAGATATCCCAGCCAGCTTACCAGCTGTTAGGAATTGTGGGAGATGAAGTCTAAGCATCTGTTGGCACTTTGGAAAGTTCCAAAAGGTTGGAATCAAGTTGCTGTTGTTATTGCTGTGTTTCCTTCAAGATGTTTTGGACTCAGGGCAACCCTCTTGAGGGATGTTTGTTCATGTTCTCAGCCTCTGAGGTCAAAATAATGTACCTTAACTGTCATGCGGAATGCTATGGATTCATGGGAGTTCTAGTTTTACAAGGTACGTAGCCTTTGGTGAAAGAGTACCAGTGCCTTGCCACAGTACAACGCCCAGGATTCCATAGTATTTAGCAATGGCACTTAAAGCAGTATCGAACTGCATTAATTCTACACTGGACATCATCAGTAAGTACTTATCTGAAATGTATGCATTCTAAAATCTTGGGGAGGAAACTCAAAATCAAAACACCTCTGGTGCCAAACATTTCAGATAAAGGATACTTTTTGTTTAATTTTTGCTAACATGACAATGCTCGTGTTAGGTATTATGTAACATTAATTGTTAGAAATAGTCTTTGTTTGGCTTTGGATTTTATGAAAGGTTCCATTATAAAATGCATGTGGACAAAATGCAACTAGCAGCATCATCTTCTATGAACTGGTGTGGGTCTTGAGCTCTGCTGGGGAGGCCCTTCTCTTGGTCCAACCACCTTCACAGGTTAGCTCCAAATCTCGAAACCTTTCAGTTTGAGTCTAAAAACATGGGTCTTTGACCTGGAATAATGTACTATGTTCATCAACCATTGTTATTTGGCACTTTAGTTTGTGTTTGAAGAAGCCCAATGACCCAAAGGTATGACTGTGTTTTAGAATTTTTTAAATTTTAAATTTTATCGATTGACGTTGTCCATTGTTTGTATTTAGTCAAATTGTGTATTGCTTTGGTATGTAATTCTATTTTATGTGTGACACCTTGAGTGCTTTGTAAGGTGCCCCGAGTCCCTTTGGGGAAATGGTGGCGGGGTACAAATAAAGTTTTATTATTACTATCTTTATTTGTCACCAAACCGCTCCAGTAGCTAAAGTTGGGAAGATATGGCAGGTTACAAATAAAATTTAATATGATAGGTCTGTGTACCAAATTTGGTCCAGATTCATCACAGTGCTTGTGGGAGGTGGGTGATTCCAACTCCCATCATTAAGGGAGCAATCCTCTTCAAGCTCACCAAGCCTTACATTTAGTCATGTTGGGTTTGTTTGGCAAGTTTGGTCTGGACCAGGCATGGGCTAACATTGGACCTCCTGGTGTTTTGGACTTTAACTCCAAAGTTGAAGCTGAGTCCAAAACACCTGGAGGGCTTAAGCTTGCCCATACCTGGTCAAGATCCATCCTCAGTTGGCTTCAGAGTGCTCTTTGTGGGTGAACTACAACTCCCAACAAGCAGGGCCAATCCCCTGAAGTATTTCCTGTTGGTCATGGGGGTGTGTGCCAAGTTGGGTCCAGACGTGTCTTTGATAGGAGTCACAGGGTTTGCTGGATGTGAGGGCCATCTAGGCAAATAAGGGAAAGGTTTGGTAAAGGTTTCCCCTGACATTAAGTCTAATTGAGTCCAACTCTGGTTGGTGGGGTTCATCTCCATTTCTAAGCCTAAGAGCCGGCGTTGTCCATAGATGCCTCCAAGTTCATGTGCCCGCCATGACTGCATGGCACATCATTACTTTCCTGCCGGAGTGGTACCTATTGATCTACTCACAAAACTGCTAGGTTGACAGAAGCTGGACCTAACAGTGGGAGCTCACCATGCTCCCTGGATTCCAACCACCAACCTTTTGGTCAGTAAGTTCAGCAGCTCAGTGCTTTAACACATTGCACCACCAGGGGCTCCATCTAGGCCAGTGGTTCTAAACCTGTGGGCCCCGAGGACAAAAATCTGGTCTGTGTGCCTCTTTCCTCTTTGTTTTATTTTATTTCTGTTCCTTTTGCCCACCTGCCACTCCTTTCCTGACGCTGTCCATGGCATATGTTCTGTATCAGAAACTAGAGTGAATGTGGTCTATCCAATGCAATTTTCTGAATCAGCACTCCAAACAAAATCCAAAGTTGACCAAAAACTGATTTGTAACTCTTTTGGTAGTAATGTTGGAGAGTGGTCCCTGGTCAAAGTGGTCCCTGGTCAAGTAGTCCCTGGTTGAGTGGCCCCTACTAGTCTAAGTGGTCCCTGGTCAAGTGGTCCCCGGTCAAAAAATGGTTGGGAACCGTTGATCTAGACAAATACATGCAAACGTATCATACACACACACGCTTAGGTGATCCCTCGTTGTCCGAGTAAGATCATCCTCCAAGGTCGGTGTCCTGGTGGTGGGTACCTAGGTGACTGTGGAGCCCTATTCTTGACCTGCATGTTCTCCCACAGTGAGGGCATCGGTTTCCAGGTGGAAGGTGGTCCCGGTCGGGGTTGGCTTGACACGCCTTTGGTGATAGTATGATTGCTGGGTCCAGAAGCTCCGAGCGTTATGCATATTCTGCAACGGCAGTTGTGAATAAGGGAAGGGACCATGTGGTCCAGAGAGAAAGGAGGGGAAGGTTGGGATAAGGGTTAGGGTAAGGTTTAGGGTTAGGGCTTGGAGTAGAGTAAGGGTTAGGGTTCAGGTTTAACCATTACATTCCTTCTAGCACAGTGGTTCTCAACCTTCTTAATGTCACGACCACTTAATACAGTTCCTCATGTTGTGGTGACCCCCAAGCAAAAAATTATTGTTATTGCTACTTCATATCTGCAATTTTGCTACTGTTATTATGTAAATATCTGATATGCAGGATGTATTTTCATCACTGGACCAAATTCGAATACTGGTGGGGTTGGGGGGATTAATTTTGTCATTTGGGAGTTGTAGTTGCTGGGATTTATAGTTCACCTACAATCAAAGAGCATGCTTTACTCCACCAATGATGGAATTGAATCAAACTTGGCACACAGAACTCCCATGACCAACAGAAAATACTGGAAGGGTTTGGTGGACATTGACCTTGAGCTTTGGAGTTGTAGTTCACCTACATCCAGAGAGCACTGTGGACTCAAACATTGATAGATCTGGACCAAACTTGGCATGAATACTCAATATGCCCATATATGAACACTGGTGGAATTTGGTGAAAATAGTCCTTGACATTTGGGAGTTCAAGAGAATTATGAACCGCACCAATGATAATATTGGGTGAAACTTCCCACACAGAACCCCCATGACCAACAGAAAATGTTGTATTTTCTGATAGTCTTTGGCGACCCCTCCAGGGGTCCCGACCCCCAGGTTGAGAACCACTGTTCTAGAATATGTGTGTTCTGTTTTGCGCAAACAGCGCTCCTGAAGGAACGAAGCGGAAACAGCATAACGCTCAGAGCTTCCGGACCCAGCTATCATACTATTACTGCGCCTTTCTCTTGGCACGTTTCTCTCTTTCACCCTCCATTTGTGCCTCTTCAAATTCTACACCACTGCTGGTCACAGCTGACCTCCAGCTAGAGCACTCAAAGGCCAGGGCTTCTGGGTTCTCAGTGTCTATGCTACAGCGTTTAAGGTTGGCTTTGAGCTTGTTGTCCACACATATACACACACACCTATATACTTTTATTATTTACATAGACTGGCAAAGACTGCCACAAGCTCTTTATTGCTGCCCGCCACCTTTGCCTGAAGCCAGGCATGTAACCCCCCCCCCCCCAAAATTCTCATGGTGGATCGAAACGCCTTGCCTAATACTTCCCCATTTTAATGTGGTTCCTATTTATCTACTCACATTTGTTTTCAAACTGCTAGTTAGGCAGAAGCTGGGCTAAAGATCAAGCACTCACCTTGACCTGGGCTTCAAACTGTCAACCTTCCGGATGGCAAGATTTATTGCAGCCCAGTGATTAACCTATTGTGGTAAACAGGCATGTAGCCGTGGGGAGGGGGGGCTTGAGGGGCTTAACCCCCCCCCCCCAAAATTCTCAGGTGGTCTGAGAGAAGACCTTACTGGTACATTTAAACTGTTATGTTTATTCATATCATGATCTGATCACCATGCTCAATATATCCCATATGCATGGGGATATTGGGGTAACGATACAAAAGGTTTGCTAAGGTAGACCCTCTTTCACTCAGACTCAGCCCCCCCCCCCCCCCCCACGAATCAAAATCCTGGCCACGGGCTTGCCTGAAGCCCATCCCTGTAGGAGAAAGTTGCCTCCTTCCTTCCTTCCCTCCCCGTCCGTCAGCGTGGAAGGCACCTCTCTCCCGCGTGGCACGGGAAGGAAAGGAAAGGCAAACTCGCAAGCAGGGGCGGGGGGCGAAGGTTTGCACGCCTCCTTTCCCTCCCCCTGAAGCCCAGGCTCCCTCCAGTGGTGCACCCTCAATTACAAGCAGAACAAGAGGAGGAGGAGGAAGAGGAAGAAGAGGAAGAGGAGGGAAAAAAGCAGCGCGTGGCAAAGCCGGAGCGAGCGCGCCTTGAAAACACGCGCGTCCCGGAGAGAGAAGGAGGTGTAGGGAAGGGAGAGAGAGAGAGAGAGAGAGAGAGAGAGAGAGCGCGTGCACGTGCCTCCCGCGGGCCAAAGGAGTGCGAGGAGGAGGAGGAGGAGGAAGTGGGAAGGAGGAAGAGTGCGCCTGCCTGCCTGCTTGCCTGAGCACCGCCTGGCTTGCAACGCCTGACTGGTGGAGCTGCGCTTTGGAGTGGCGCCTGGGCTTCTTTTCTTTCGTTCTCCCTCGGATACACCCGGGCTGAGGAGCGAAGGGAGGCGTGAGGGTCCGGGGAAGGGGTGGCGGGCACCTGCCGGCCCACCTGGAGCGCCTCCTCAGGTGGAAGAGCCGCCACGCGAGACGCCGCTTGGGAAGTTTCCAGCGCCCACGACGCCTCCGTTGCCCGGGACGCTGCGAGCGCAAAGGGAGGAGGAGGAGGAGGAGGAGGAGGAGGAGAAAGAGAGAGGAGGAAGGGATGGCGGGGCGGATCAGGTGACAGCGGCGTCGGCAGCAGGGCAGGAGCAGCACCTGGGCTCGGGCTGGTGGTGTGTTCCGAGGCGGAGGCGGCCGGCCAGGTGAGTCGGGCTCCCAGGCAAGGCAAGGCAAGGAGGGAGGGCAGGCGCTTCCTGGCTGGCAAGGGCTCTTCCCTGGCCCCCTTCCACTCTTCTGGGCTCTTTTCTCAATCCTCAAGGACCTTTGAAGAGGCAGGAAGGGAATCACCCCTCCCCCCTCCCCTCCCCTCCCAAGGCAGCTGTCAATACAAAGTTTCCCCAAAGAGAAACTCTGCCAATCAATCAATCAATCCCTCGGAGATGTTGGTTCGAAGGCTCCCTTGGTAAGAAGCTAATAGGGATTTCCTCAGTTCCCGGCCTTCAGTTGCCATCTCTTTGCCATTGTCTTCCAGTCCTCATCCCCACTGGGTTCTCACTCCAGAGGCAAACCTGACTCCAAAGTTTTCCCTTGCTATTTTGCCACTGCTGTTGTGCAAGCGGTTCTTCTAGGAAGTCAGGTTTGCTGTAAGTTATTTGGGCTGTATAGCCATGTTCCAGAAGCGTTCTCTCCTGGCATTTCGCCTGCATCTATGGCAGGCATCCTCAGAGGTTGTGAGATCTGTCAGGGGGAGGGAAAGGTTGTGAAGGGGAGGGAAAGGGCAACTAAAATGATCAAGGGTCTGGAGAACAAGCCCTATGAGGAGCGGCTTAAGGAGCTGGGCATGTTTACCCTGAAGAAGAGAAGGCTGAGAGGAGATATGATAGCCATGTATAAATATGTGAGAGAAGCCACAGGGAGGAGAAGGGAGCAAGCTTGTTTTCTGCTTCCCTGGAGACTAGGACGCGGAACAATGGCTTCAAACTACAAGAGAGGAGATTCCATCTGAACATGAGGAAGAACTTCCTGACTGTGAGAGCCATTCAGCAGTGGAACTCTCTGCCCCGGAGTGTGGTGGAGGCTCCTTCTTTGGAGGCTTTTAAGCAGAGGCTGGATGGCCATCTGTCAGGGGTGATTTGAATGCAATATTCCTGCTTCTTGGCAGGGGGTTGGACTGGATGGCCCATGAGGTCTCTTCCAACTCTTTGATTCTATGATTCTATGATTCTTCTAGGAAGGCTGTGTTGATTATTTTGGGGGACAGTTTTCAAACCCAGAACTATCTGTTCTGAAGGGTCTGCAATGGAGCCTTGGCATCCCTTGGGGTTTGGATCCAGGACCCCAAAACCTTGGGTGCGCAAGTCCCATGATACACAGAGGCATCGCAAAACAGGGCCCCTTCCCTAAAATGGCGAAATCAAGGTTTGCTTTTCGACTTTTTTGTGTGAATGTTTCCAAGCCATGGATGGTGAAATCTCTGGATATAGAAGGCCAACATTTTGAGGGGATAATCTGTATATAAAGATGAGTGATGGGAAGAATACCAGTCAATTTGAATCTCTGGTTCGTTGTGAGTTTTCCAGACTGCCTGGCCATGTTCCTGAAGCATTCTCGCCTGACGTTTCGCCTGCATCGATGGCAGGCATCCTCAGAGGTTGGAGGTCTGTTGAAACTATGCAAGTGGGGTTTATAGGTAAAGGGAACGGTTTTCCCCTGACATTAAGTCTAGTTGTGTCCAACTCTGGGTTGTGGTGCTCATCTCCATTTCTGAGCTGAAGAGCTGGCGTTGTCCATAGACACCTCCTACGTCATGTGGCTGGCATGACTGTATGAAACGTCGTTACCTTCCTGCCAAAGCGATACCTATTGATCTACTCACATTTGCATGTTTTCGTACTGCTAGGTTGGCAGAAGCTGGGGCTAACAGCAGGAGCTCCCCGGATTTGAACCACCAACTATTCAGCCAGCAAATCCCACAGCTCAGTTTTTTAACCCACTGTGCCACCAGAATATATATATATATATATATATATATATATTATGGAATAAAGTCCAGGATAGGAGAAAGAACTCTTGTCTCTTTAAGGTAAGTGTGAATGTTACAACTGGCCACTTTGATTAGCATTGAATAGCCTTTTGGCTACAAGGTCTGGCTGCCCCCAGGTCTGGATTTAAAGTCCAGACTCCCCCAGGCAGTAAGCAGCCAGACCTTGAAACTGCTAGGCCATTCAATGCTGACAAAAGTGACCAATTGCAACATTCACATCTCCCTCAAACCAACAAGAGTTCTTTCTCCCACTCTGGACATTCCACAGATATATAAACCTCACTTGCCTAGTTTCCAACAGACCTCACAACCTCTGAGGATGTCTGCCATAGATGCAGGCGAAACGTCAGGAGAGAATGCTTCTGGAACATGGCCATACAGCCCAGAAAACTCACAGCAACCCAATGATTCTGGCCATGAAACCCTTCAACAACAAATAATCTCTGGTTTGGCTTTTTAGGGTTCAAAACACTTCATTCCTTGTGCTTTTAATGCAACAGATGAGCCTCTCTGGAAGAAATTCGAGAGCTGTGTCTTTAAAATAATGTTTCTCCCTTCCTTCTACGCTCTCAATGTAGGTGTCAGTGTAGGCAAAGCTACCAAAGCCATGGAGTTAAGATCTTACAGGTTTCTTATCTGTCTCTTTTCTGTGATTTCCAGAGCCGTTTACAAACAGAAGCTCCAGCCATTCCCCTCACTGCTCCCTTCCTCCGTTTGTGCCTTTTCCTCCGTTTTATGGAGAGTATAACAAGGCTTTCCGAGGTGCTGCTTGAAACACTTTCCCTGTGATTCTCAGCATCTCCATGCTGAATTTATTTGCACTTTATCTCTGCATAGGTTTGTATAATCTGCACTTTACCCTGAACGAGTGTTTGTAGGATCCTGAAGCCACGCCTCCAACTTCTTCCTCTTGTTTGAGCAACAATTATAGGAGAGGAGTCACAAGAGACGGCCCTGGAGGGCTGTTGGAAGGGTCGGTGAGACAATGACGCTTCTGAGGAGCAGAATGTTAATTCCAGTGTTTGTTGTTGTGACAATTCCTCATAGTCTCTTGACACCCTGCCTAGGGGAAAAGGGACTGGAACAAACACATGATATCATCTAGTAGGACTCTTGTGGGGCTTTTATGGGTGTCTAGCCCCAACTGTGGAAAATTCCATGTGATCAGAATCATTCAGAAAGGAATGTTTACTTCCTTTACTTCAGTGTTTCTCATCCTGGGGGTGAGGACCCCTGGGGGGATTGCAAAGGGGTGTCAAAGGGGTCACTAAAGAGCATCAGAAAACACAGTATTTTCTGTTGGTCATGGGGGTTCTCGGTGGAAAGTTTGGGCCAATTCTGTCATTTGTGGGGTTCAGAATGCTCTTTGGTTGTAGGTGAACTATAAATCCCAGCAACTACAACTCCCAAATATCAAGGTCTATTTTCCCCAAACTCCATCAGTGTCCACATTGTGGCATATTGAGGATTCATGCCTAGTTTGGTTCAGATCATCATTGTTTGAACCCACAATGCTTTCTGGATGTTGGTGAACTACAACTCCAAAACTCAAGATCAATGCCCACCAAACCCTTGCAGTATTTTCTGTTGGTCATGGGAGTTCTGTGTGCCAAGTTTGGTTCAATTCCATCYTTGGTGGAGTTCAGAATGCTCTTTGATTGGAGATGAACTATAAATCCCAGCAACTACAACTCCCAAATGACAAAGTCTATTTTCCCCAAACTCCACCAGTGTTCACATTTGGGCATGCTGGGTATTTGTGCCAAGTTTGGTCCCGATCCATCATTGTTTGAGTCCACACTGCCCTCTAGATGTCGGTGAACTACAACTCCAAAATTCAAGATCAAATCCCACCAAACTCTTCCAATATTTTCTGTTGGTCATGGAAGTTCTGTATGCCATACTTSGTTCAGTTCCATTGTTGGTGGAGTTCAGAATGCTCTTTGATGATAGGTTAACTATAAATCCCAGCAACTACAGCTCCCAAATGACAAAATGAACCCCCCCCCCCAACCCCATCAGTATTCAAATTTGGGCATATCTGGTATCTGTGCCAAATTTGGTCCAGTGAATGAAAATACATCCTGCATATCAGATATTTACATTACGATTCATAACAGTAGGAAAATTACAGTTATGAAGTAGCAACAAAAAAGCTTAGTTGGCTGATGGGGAAAAGGAAGGGGCCTGAAGCTATTGGGAATTGTGGGAATTGAAGTCCAAAATACCTGGAGGACTGAAGTTTGCCCATGCCTGCTCTAGAGATTGTTCAGTCACTGGGGAAAAAAAAGCAGTGACAGGACCTTATCAGCAAAGCAAGTTTTGCTGCAAATTTCCTATGATAGAATAGACAATGATAGATGGAATAGCTCCAAATTTAGTCAGTATTCTCACTTGGGATGATGGAGCCATCCTAGTTAGCATGTTTGCTCCAGAATTTGGAGCATGCTTTGCCAAAGGAAGATGCTTGATGTTCAAGGGGACTTGGCCCTATGGAGATTTGTATTCGTGCTTTATATCATGTTTACCTGGTGTTGACTGTGTTGTCTTTCTTCATCAGGAGACTTGGGAGTCTCCATAGATATCTAGTCTATGCACCACTAGATATCTAAGCACTTGAAGAGCATAGTGCAGTTGTTGAGCACAAAGCCTGAAGCTATAAATAACTGGCTCTGTTTAGAGTAGGGGTGGGAGTTAATGTGGGCTCCAGGGCAGTTTTTGGTGGGCCTTTTCTGGCCAGAAAAAAATGTTGTCCGCTTTTCACCTGGCAGTCTTCCCAAGTGGAAATTCACCACTGAGATAGACTGTAGTATACTTCCTACAACCTGTTGAACATTCAGAAAACCTTTTTTTTTCAAAACCAGGAATGGATTTCTACCCATTTCTGTATTTACATTTTGCATTTTAGCAGACTGGGTCAGTTTGGATGATTTGGGGAAGAAAAATGGCCTCTAGAGTTTCCCAGTTGCCCACTCTGGCTTAAAACCATCACATTCTCTTTTGGAAACCGCTTGCAGAGTAAATAGACCTTTTAAAGAATGTATTAAACAGAGTCTCCATAAGTTGGATTGCTGTGAGTTTTCCGGGCTGTATAGCTATGTTTCAGAAGCATTTTCTCCTGACATTTCACCCATATCTATGGCAGGCATCCTCAGAAGT